TGTAAGTTGTTTAGTTGTAAAGGTGGTTTCACTTGGTTTCTCTTGTTTTTTTGGCTGGTTTCTCTTTTTCTCAAAAATTACCAAAAAAGGAAATTTTCTGAAAATTTGGGGATCAGCGGAAAGAGTTTTTTTTTTAAAAAAACATGTTATAATAATATGATTGCGAATTAAAAAAAAAGTAATTATATTTTAATAATTGTTTTTAAAATTATATTTTGATATAAATATCAGTATATTTTTTTTTATAATTCATTTGTTTTATTTAATTATCTTATAAATATCTTTTACATTCTAGAATCAAATTTAATAATTTAATATATCAGGATATAAATTTACAAGAAACCTTTTATATACTGTATATTGGATAAATAAATAAAAAATAAGTTTATTCTCAATTTCTTTTAGTATAACTTTTGACCAATCAATAGCCACATTAGATTGAATTCAATGGTAATATACTGTATACTGTATATCTCGCTTTTTTTCTTTAAAGACTTGATCAATTTCGCGATGATTTAGATGAATTATCTTAACCGAAATATTCAAATATTAACGATGTTTTCGGTCTTAACACTTATTCGAACTGCAAGGTAAAAACATTGTTTTAAGAATTGTAGTGTATAAAAAGAACGAACAATCGGTAAAATAATTAAACTTGTTTCGATAAATTACGTCGGTTAAAAAGTTGACTATAGATATCCGAAAAATGCGAAGCTAAATAATGCATGGCAAAATATACTTTAAACAAATGACCTATTGGATGTAATTCCGGAATGAAAAATACATTCACCAGAGAAGATGCACTGGTAATTTCTAATTATTATTGTTGACAATTTTGTTATATCATTGGCAAGAATTTGGAGTTATTATCTCAATTAAGATTTTGACCCTGATTTTGAGATCCTTAATATATAAATTTTGCAATTCATTACTTTCGATTCTGAACTTTTAAATGCTAGGTTAACTTTTCATTATAAAGTAACTATAACGAATCTTGATCTTATTTTGTTACTTTTGAAAGGATGTTCAATGCAACATTGAAAATCCAAAAGGTTACGTGAAGACCTAGCGCAAACAGTACGTAAGATTTATTTATTGCATGTCAATTAGCGCATCTAATCTAAAATACAATCTAACGATCGTGATAAAAGCCAAACATAATATGATTTGGAAGTTGTCTCTACATAATTAATTTTACCACCCATCTATTGTAGTATATTAAAACTGACTAATCAAGATGATACCACTTCATTAAAAGATTCTCTTTTTTTTTCATACACCTTATAAATGCGAAAACACGCTAGTAAGGAAGTAAAATTTCCAAAGAAAAATAAAAAAACCTCATTAAAAACTATTGTGCGGGATCGCGAGTGTAAAATTACAAAATCCTATCCATACTAATGTGTATGTATATTTATATTTAAAAAATTATGTATATAACAAATGAGTCAGCTAGTTATCCCAAGGTAATTCCCCTGGGTATAGCAGAGATGAATTTTTAGGACAATAGTTCAACAGTTGCGAAATATCCGGACAACTTTGAAGGTAGGGATTACTGCCAAAATGTATTTGCATTTTGAGTTAGAGTATTATATGTGAGTAAAAGAAGAAATATATTAACATACCTCCTCCTAAATGGATTTCTCTGGAGCTTTTTTTGTCGAAGTTTTCCATGGCATCCATAAAGATCTTTCCGAAACTGATAAGCAGCCTTCATCGGTGAAATGTGAAAAATAGTTAAAAACTACATGAATGTTAACTGAAAAGCAAACTAAAAAATCATTCGGGTACCTGATCGGATAACATCCTGTCTTCAAGATCAATCCCCACGTAATTAAACCTGTGTAAAGTTGGAAAGAGATAAAAATGAGAGGGCGCAGATCTAAACAAATGTAACAAATCTGTTTATAGAATAATTACCTTTTCATTGGAAACTTTATAGCAGCTCGGTGCAATTCGACAAATCTCTTTCGCTTAAATTGAAACCCTACAACGGTTATACTTATTGGATAATGTCCCGTATATTCGTGAAAACGACAGATAGAGAACAACAAATTTTCATATGAATCGCGAGCATATTCTTCGGTCGTCATGCTCACGAATGATAAGTTATTTTTTGGTGAAATCTCTAGTGATTGTGCAACTTCCTAGGTGAATAATTCATTTCTATAAGGTCATTGTTATATATGAACACAACGAAGAAATTATCTATCTACCCAATAGCTTTGCGCTTCACTTCTTGGACCGGCGGAAAGCCTTGTTTGTCCTCTTGAAAAAATGATGGTTAGGTAAAATCGACCTAAGTAATTAAATTGCTTTTCAATAAAAAAAAAAAAACTTACCCACTAAATACCAACAATGCATCTTTATTATCCAACACCAATTCTACTCCCTTTCTGATATGATCCAGAAACACTTTCACATGTTCTCCCCCCTTCTGAAACTCTTCCAATATCCACCCTTCGTCACCACCAATTCTATCAAAATCTTTCCCTATAAAGATAGCATGTCCAGCAACTATAATTAAATCCCGAAGTTTGGGATGTAGTGGTCGAGGAATTATAGATGATTGCGCGTTATTAGAAATTATCTCAAAGTCGTCATGCGGTGATGTTTTGAGTAAAGAAATCTCGAAGTTCTCGAGGTAAAAGAAACTAAAGTGTATTACATTAATTATTAACGATGTAAAAAGAATGCAAAAGAAACAGAGAAATAAAGTTCGATTTAATATAATCGATCTCTTTTCTTGTTTATTAAACAATGGAAGAATCGATGATGATTCTCGAAATAACATTGTACTTACGCACATAAAGAAGACAAACGGTATTGGGGTATGATTGGACACTTGCAATTAAATCACGTATTGTCAGCCAATAGAATCAATAGAATGCGATACGCAATTTTCGGGTGGTACTTTTACAAGTAGTTGATCAACCAACATCTAAAAATAAAATATTTATAAAATATTTTAAAATTTAAATAAACAAGTTTTTCAAATAATTAAAAAAATATTTATAATATATTTGTATATTTTTAAAATTTTTTTAATCTATTATTTTCTTATTTAATTTTTTGTTATTTAATAGCTTAATAAATAATAAATAATAAATAATAATAATTTATCAATTATAATATATAAATTTAAAAATTTTTTATTTAAAATATTTAATTATTTTTAAAACAAATTTAAAAGTTTTTTATATTACTATAAATCACTGCATACAATACCTCCTCTAAAATAATACCCCCTCCTAAATAATACCCAGTAGTATTCAAGAAAATTGTTACTCAATAAATGATTACTACCCAGGTATATTAAACTAGAGCCAATAAAATTGCAGTATGAATGAACAAGTGAGAAATACATCAAATGATAATAAGACACTAAATATTCTGCCATTTATATTACCCCCCTTCTAATAGAATATTCTTTCGGATATTAATCAATTTATAATGAGATAAATTGATTAATACCTGAGGTATTGTATTCAATGATTTATGATAATATTAAGTTAATTGAATTAAATATAATATTTATTGTTATATATATTAAATTATTTAAAAAAAAATATCAACCCAAAAACTTTAAAATAGAGAAAAAAAAAAACTCTTTCCGCTGATCCACTATTTTTTTAAAAATTTCCTTTTTTGGTAATTTTTTAGAGAAGAAGGATAACACAATTCAAGCTCAACAAACACAGTAAAGAGAAACACAACTACATCACCCCACTTGGAACAATACATAAAGCTCTATAAACAAGCCGCCAGGAGAAGAGTACATAATAATAATATTAGTACTTTATCCATCAACTTTTGAGGAAAAGGGAA